CAAAGTGTTCCACTTCAGTCCCTTTCCCAGTGTTTTATCTGCTTCTTCTCTCCAGGCCTCTCTCTGCTGAAATCATCATCCATGCCTGCATGTGAACTACATACAACTGTGCTTTCATCTAAAATGTGGTTGCTGTTGGAGACTGGGTGTTTCACTGCAGCAGGAGGGCACTGCTCCTCCAGAGAGGAATGCAAAATTCTTCACACAATTTTTTTGCTCCTTTTGGTGGGAGACTTGATCTCCTCAGCTTAACAGATGGACTGTGACTTGCTGAGGAAAGACTTAAATGCATTAGCACTAAGCCAAAGACTGTAGCTTAGTGCTGATTCAGATCCTGCCTGCTTTTTAGTTTTGGACTTCACTCTCTTATTGCCCTGCTTTGCCCTTCAGATCTGGGGGTTTTTTGACCTCTGCCTCTGTAATGAATTTGTCCCAAGTTAAATTCTTTATCTTGCAGTATTTTGCAGGTTAATCCCTTGGTAAGAGCAGTTTGGCTTTCTTAGTCAGGCCATGAGGCTGTTAGGTGAATTGTGTGCAGAATTATTCAAAATGCAAGTATAGAGTTCAGTCCCTCAAAGAATCATTTCCCAGGTATTTGATTATTGTAGTATTGCATTGAAGAGATTTTGATCAGGTTCATGTCTTGGGGTGAGAAGTGGGGTAATTATTTTTCACAGAATTTCAGTTTATAGTGTAGTTTCAGTCATGTCACCTCCAAAGCTTCTGTTTTGCTTAATTCAGTAAGAACTCATTTTTTAAGACTAAACATTTTCTTTTTTTTTTTTTTTTTTTTTTTGCTTCATTTTGGTGATTTTGAGCAGTGCAAATATCAATCCAGTTGGTTTCTTCTCTTTAGAGCCTTTCTTCTCTTTTCCCTATTATGGTTCTGCTTAAACCTCATCATTATGTCTCTGCTTAGGCAAGAAGGATATCATATCTTCTTCATGTCATTTAGCATTTGCCTGATCAGTCTGTAGACCTTTGTAATTTTTAATTATGAATTGGTCATCTGTAATCCTACTCCTTCATCAAAAACATCAAAGTTGCCAGGCAACAGTGAGGGGTGGAGAGATGTGGCCCCTACTTTTCAAGCTCTCAGTGTGTAAAGCGCTTGGTCACTTAGAAAAGCTTTTGCTTTCCTGCACAGGCTCTTGGGGTTCAGTTCATGTAGAAGTTGGGAGAATTGCTCATGTTGGGCATTTCACTTTCTCTGCTCAGTTTTCAAGAACAATAGCTCGACATGCAGCTGGTTTGGTGACTTTCTGCTCTAGCAGCTTCTATATCTGCTGCTACTTTTGGAAAAGGCCCCCACCTCCCCAACACCAAGTTTTCATAGTCTAACTCTTCAGTCTACAGGCACACCTGAATAGCTTGAAGCAGATAGATCTAAGGGTCAAAAGAGACTATCTCTCAACATGGGGGAAGAGATGACCATGGTCATGTGGCTCAAGCCAGAAATAAGTGCTCTAAATAGATTTTCCACTACTTTCCTTATTAGGGGATGCTGTTCAATGAGATTCCACAGTCCCAATGTAATTGGACTCTTATGGTTCCCATTTCATGTATTTATACAAGCTGTACATACTGAAAAACATGTCCCAAGTCTCAAAACAACTTCTGAAGTAGTTACATTATAAGGTTCACTATTTCCATCGAAGATAAACCTGGCAAAGTTGGAGCCACCACTCCTCTTCAGAGCTGTGGAGTAGATTCCACTCCCTGTGCTTAGAAGCTTTTCCCATTGTACAGATGAGAGGAAAGCACGTACATGACCCGTAAAGTCTGCACAAGTGGGCTTTCTGACAGTGCATCTCGTCACCCACAGCCTGTGGAACATGTGCATTCCAGAACAGGTCACCTCAGCACAGAAGGAGGGTCAGGACAGATGGGGTTAAGGCAGCATCACTCGCTGCAACTAAAGAAGCTTCAGTTTTCTCACCCCGCAGGGCAGGGTCACGTTCTCCCAGCTGTCAGCTCCTCTTTGCGAATCTCCTGTTCTCTGCACATCCTGCACCCTTGCAGCCCATCACAGAAGCTGCAGTTTTTAGGTACAGCTCACAAAACTGTTGTGACATGATGTACCTACTGTGTGTAATAAGGGCATCATTTCCCCCAAGGGGCCAAAACGTGCTTAACTTCAGCTGTCCTGACTGATGTGTGACTTCTACCTGAAAATGGCACCTGAGTGATAGAAAGCTTGCTTTCCATTGAAATTGGGCTGTTCCAAATGTTAGGAACCTTATTCTGCTTTTGCCCTTAGATAAGTATTTTACTGCCAGAAGGGAATTAGTTTGTTTCATAAGCTGCTCTGACTATTGTGGGGAAACTAAAATGATGGCCTTCCTTTTCTTTTGATTTTGCCTCAAATTTGAAAACTTAGCAGTAGCAATTTGTTAAAGTTTGTTTTTCAAGCCACTTGCTTCTAACAAAAGTTAGGGAGCCAGGCAAGTTCTGCAGAGGTAGCCCACTGGGGATGCTGGATTTTGAATGGCAGCTCAGTGTGCTGGAAAAGTGTTTTCCTTTGGAACTGCCTAGGGCAGAGCAGTACTAATGCAGGGCAGAGCATGCACAAGAAGGATCTCTTCAGTGAACCGTGCTGTGGAAAGATGGAAAGCACTTGAGAAGAAAGCTGTAAATGCAGCTGTGCTTAATAGCAGTCCAGAAGGGATGCTCTAAAAGTCAGCCAGACTTTTTGAGCTCAGATAACATTGAGGTCAACTCAGGATACTAGGCCTGCTGCCTGTAATTGAAAAGTTGTTCATAACTGGTGTCACCTGCAGCGAGGATACAGCCTTTCCTTGTGTCAGAGATTCATCTTTCAGTGGGAATGTATATTCAGAGAGACAGCTTTGGATAAAACTGAGCATAAAAACAATGGAAAATGATTACTTAGTAATTAGTGCTTTTTACAGTAGCTCTATAAGTCAGTGAATACGGGGCTCTTCCCCTCAGGCTTCCCAAGAAAATGTGTTTGCAAGTCTATGGGATTGGCATGGGAAAAGTAAAAATTTTGGGAAAGTAATACGCCTGACCTCAAAAAGGAGGCTGTTGAATTTTTCAAGCAGGTGATAGTAAAAGTGTCTTGTCCATTTAGTGATCTAAACCTTGAGAGAAGGTTGTGTGAAAACTACAGCAGACAGGTTCAGAAAACCTTGGACAAGCTGAAAATGGGCAGATATAAGGATGCTGTGGTACAGGATCTAAATGTTGGCATATCACTGTCTAACTGTTCAAAGTGTTCGTTCACTCACCAGAACAGATAACAGATAGCAATGTTGAAAGCTGACTTTTCTTCTAGGGAATTACCAGTACTGCATATGCCTCAATTAGAAGTACAGAAAGTACATTTCAATATAATTTTATGAGATGCTGCTTTCCTCAGGTAACAGCTCATTTTGTACTTCCTTGCATGAAAATTAAGTTTTATGCTACAGTGAGCACCACGGGGCAAGATTACATGAGGAATGCTTTCTGCTGAAGAGTGTTTTGGGATCTTTTTCTCCCTACAGGAGAGCCACACAGATGAGCATGAAGGTGAAGAGCAAGTCCATGAACAGCCCCAGCAGCAGGATGAGTACTGACTCACGCAGCATCTCTGACAATTTTCGTTTTGTGTGAGAACTTTCTTCTGGAGAATGGAACATGTACGGCCTCAAACTTGAAATCAGTTCACTCCCAGTCTGCCATTAACATTTATGTACCATAGTGAGTGCCAGCCAACCACTGCATTCTGTACCAATACTTTGCCAAGATGCATTTGCAGGCGTCTTCTTTCAGTGTATCTTCCCAAGAGGTTGTAGGGCTACATCACCTACTGTACATCACTGCAACGTCACCACTTGGCTGCTTGAGATTTGTTCTGCTCTTTAAAAATATATATATTTATTTTTTTTTCTTTTTCATCTTAAGTATGATACACTTGTAACTTGTTCTAACATATTTATATTGGCATTTTGTGTGGCAAGGAGTTCTGTACCACTAGCTGTGTCTCTCACTTTGTGGTGCTTTTGCATTTTCTAGTACATTTGCCTTGGGGCATCGATTTGGCCAAACAGTTGAAATAAAGGGATACAGTGGATGTCATACTCAAGCCATAACGATGAGGTTGTGTTGTGGAGGAAAACGCTTGTGTTGCTCGCATTTATTCCTTTCCTGCCTTCACAAATGGAAGGCAGAGCATCTGTTTCACTGGGAGATTTAAACCCCTGTTAGGAAGCTTGTTAGAAAGCTGCATGGTATGTTTTTTGGCTGATTTCTGGAGGAACAGACATCCACCTAAGCTTTTTGAATACCCTCCCAGTTTCCTAACTAGTCAATAGACATTTCCCAGCTTTTCTTCCTTTCTGAGGAATCCAGTCCCAGCCTCCAGCCGCAGCTCTACCTCCGCAGAGCTCAGTGCTGAGGGAGGAGAGAAATCTCCTTGACACAAGTGTAGCTGCAGGACACAGTCTGTACCATCATCCTTGGCTTCCCGCTTCTCAGAAAAGGAGAAAGTAGGCCACACATTTCTTTCCACTTTCCTTCCCCCTTCCACTGCCCCAGCCATACAAGTCTAGAAGACAGAAATTTGGTCAGTAGTGCAAAGTATGGGGGGAAGCAGCAACAGCACTGTCCCCGAACCATACCCCAAACTCCCCTGTCAGTGGATGGTGGACACTTCACAAGTTTAAGGCTGCTTGTAAAGCATGGAGAAGCAGTGAGGAGTCCTCCTGGAGACAGGGCACACATTAGAGGGAGACCATCTGACTGAGGGTACAGAGCTGGTTCTGCTCTTGGCTGGCCTTCCTCCTTTAAGGCCAGTGTGGTGCAGAACCATGTGTGCACTGGAGATTCTGCAGTGGAGCGTTCCCTTCCAGTGTGGTCCCATGGCCCTGTTCTAAATGATGGTATTTTATAAGGAGAGGTATATTGAAGTATAAAAAGCATTCCTTGTTCTTCTCCTACCACTGCACATTGTAGTCTCTCTGGTTATTTAATGCCTGGTATTTTTGGTCTCTCACTTCATTTTCTGAGTTCTGGTTTGCTGTGCTGATTTAGCAGGTACGTGGAAGTCCCATGCCAATTGGCATTCACTGAAAAACTCCACAGCCTATTGGACAGCTAAATCATTTTAGGTGTTTGTAGTCTTCTAAAGCATTAGGTCCCCAGCTATACTTCCACAGAAAGGTTTCCAACACATCAGCCCCCAGGCACACACACATGCACATGCAGTTTTCCATTCCTAATCAATCTTCTGCAGCTAAGTGGCTCTTAGTTAAATGTGAGAACCCTGCTGTTGTGTTGCACCACCAACAATATATAAAATGCTGTTGAGCACCAGAACAGGTATTCCAGTTCCTTAATCCTCCCCCTGCACAGCAGAAGAGTTTCTGTACCCTGCAGGCTGAAGTTTTCCCAGCCCTGCACCCAGTATTGACCTCACATCCTACCCAGTGATGAAATCAAACTACTGCAACCTGCAGGCCAGCGCTTTCCTCTCCCTTCTCAATTGGTTACAAATAAGGTCTGGTTTATAAAATCGTGTTTTTTCCAAAGTAATTATTTCAAAGAATCACCACAAATGGGGGAATTGTCATTTTTGTTGTATTTGTGTTTATTAGAACATATGTACTTATTACAATTGTCATTGTAATAAACAGTAGTTCTTCATAATACTGTTGAAGAGCAGTTACTAATTTTTTTTCCAGACTCCAGAATGTCCTTTAACCTTTATGGGATATCGGAATGGGGCAAGGAGTTTGGGATCAGGCTATAAACTTAATTTCATCAGCATGTCTCTGCTTACTGGATTTCATCCTTCTGCCAATACTCAAGCAGGTGCATGGAGAGCACTTCAAGGGAAAACAGTTTTCTGAAGGTGCAAATGGTTGGGGTTGCTGAGCTCCCCTGACAGTTCATAGCCAGGCTGTTGTGCCTCTCTTCTTCTCTCTCTTTTGAAGCACATATGAAAAAAAAAATTTAAAAAAAGCTGAACTTTGTTTCCTGAAAATTCCTTGCATCCTATTTCTGATCTGAGGACCATAGCCCTGTCACTGCTTGTATCAAGGGGGGAGTGACTGATGTAGGGAGCCAGGGCAGTGAAGTTCTTTGGGGGCACCAGAAATGTGGCTGTGCTGAGGGGAGAGCAGTGTTCTGAAAGGGGAAAGAGTTGTCCTTCCCCCCCACCCCCTGTGAGTAACCCATTATTCTGTTATGGTTTTAATATGCATTTGTAATTACCTTTACTAAATAGCACACCATAAAGCTTTGGTTATATATTAAATGTAAACTGAAAGGAATGTAAACATATGTATTGTTAATTATAAATAGATAAGTAATGGCATAATAGATACAAAAAAGTCTGATTCAGATGTATCAGTCATTTTACATTATCCACAAACTGTCGCATGATAGAGTAGATTTTTGTCTGAATATGTGAATAACTTGACTTGCGTTTATCTTTTTACATATTTAATAAAAAAATATATGTTAAAATCTGTCCAGCTCTAGAGACTATTCAGAACATTCTAAAAAAATAATTTTCTGGATTAAATGCATATTTTTAATTCATCAGGGGCTGCATATGGGAGCAGGAAGAAAAAGGCAGCTGCTTTAAAAACCCAGAAGTCGATTTATGCTGTGTGTGTGGATAGCATCTGTTTCCCCAAGAGCTCAGCAACTGTATTCCCTTTTATAAATCAAACCAGAAAATCCATGTATGCATGTATGTGCACGTAAACAGCACATTTTTCTTTATGGTAAATGCATATTCAGATTTTGGAGTGCTAACTCCCTTGGGTATCAGTCTGAAGCAAAACTGGCAGCAGCCAGGAGGCAAAGAGAGCACTACAAAAAGGTACCCAAGCTCCCAGTGGGCTTCTCGCAGGCCAGGTATTCAGGGATGAATCTTCAATACAGTACCTAAAAGCCACCTAGATTTTAGATTAAAGTATGAGGTTTTGTTGGGAGAGAAGGGGGAAAATTCATTGTAGCTCTCACAGCTCTGGTCTTTTGTAGCTGCAGTAGCTGCTGCTCAAGCGCAGGAGTTCTGAGCCTTGGATCGGGACCCTTTTCCTCTGTGTTGAAGTGACCCTGTTGTGAGCCACCAGCCTGCACCTCAGTGCTCCAGGTATCCCTGGGCCTCTGACAAAGGAGGGGAGGATGAGGCAGAGACCAGAGGAGCCATTTCCAACCCAGGTGTTCAAACCTGGGAGAGCAGCTCTTGTTTAGCTGCTTTTCATAAAACCAGGAGGAAGGCATCTCCTTGGGTTAGTGCAACTGTTCTGAAGCATGAAAAAAATTATATATTTTCCAATTCAGGTAGTTGAAAACTTTCTGCCATAATGTGACCCAAAAAATGTATTGTTAGACTGTTAGGTCATCTACATACCTGACTTTGCAAAATAAATCTGTGACCGTACAGCCCTATGAGCAAAAGCATTTTTCTTCCTATTCATTGAACCAGTTGTCATCTATGACAGCTAATAATTCAATAGACACACTGTGCAATACATGATCTCTTTTTATACTTGTCTTTATACAGATTGTAGTGATAAATTGCTTTAAAGAGGAAAAAGAAAGTTATTTGCCATGTTTTCATGTAGAAGGTGAAAAAACTGGCCAGAGATTAATGCCCTTTAAAAGTGATACTCAGTTTCTCTTTAGTAAGGTACAAGTGCAGGTTGTGGTAGTTCAAGCTTTATAATTTCATTTAATGAATATTTCACATACTCTATTCCAGTGCATCAGAATGCACTGCTTCTGTGACCCTTATTTCCAGCTGTTTCCTAAATAAGTGCAATACAGATGGAAAAAAGAAGCCTGTCTGTGGAGTTTCTCCTTATGACCACATTCAATTTAGAGTTATTTTTGTTTATTGTTTCCCAATTCTTTTCTCACCAGAGTTTCCTCAAAGCTTGTGATGGAAAGGTGAAATACAAAGTGCCCTTAAAAAGCAGGTGGGACTTTTGTGGCAGGGTATCAGGTATGGATGTAGTATTTAACTTCATCAAATGTTGAGACTGCTGGGTGTGTGCAGCAACATCAAACTCATCACTCCCCTCCAAATACAGTCAGAACTACCTTTTTTGGCAAACCTCATGAAATAAAGAGACTTCAGACTTACTCCAGGGGAGTCTTTGTGTAGTTGGGAACACTTCTGTGGACACCCAATGTTCTCTGGGCATCACACAGGGTAAGGGCATGGCTACCACACTGGTGGGAGGAAGCCTGGGAGATGCCTCCTGTGCTGGACCACAGCAGTGACAAAGGGCATCCTCCCTTCCCTGCCTGGCTCTTGGCAAAACCTCTGACTCTGCATTACAGCATGACCTGTCCCCTCTGCCTGACTCACACCTGGAGCTGCTTGAACTGTGACTCACCTGGTGTTTGTTTGGGGGGTGAGACTCTCAGTGTGCTTGTTTGGTAGGTGGAACATGGATTCTTTCAAACCTAAAGGGACTTTCCAATGTTTCTGCTTTGTGAGCAGGGGAAGCTGATGTGCAAGCTTGTTCCCTGGTGCCTGTGCTAAGGGCTGCCTGGGGAAATCAGCCCTGCTGGTGTTGTCATAGGGCAACTGCTGTAACAGGAGGTACCAGCTAAAGCTGAAGCTGCTCATACAACTTGCCAGTGGCTCAGCTGAAAATATAATAGGAGCTACTGATGTAAGGGTAAGTTAACTGGGGTGCAAAAATGATCTGGCTAGTGATAAACTCACAGAAATGGTCTAAGAACTGAAAAAGATGAAGACTCAGCTCAGCAGCTCAAAAACTGCACTTCCATCTGGCTTCTGGCAAGTGAGATGGTTAAATAGTTAATAAACGTGCCGGGCTGTCAATCACATCCCTCTGTGCTTACCTTGGGGAAGTGGACAGATTGTTTAATTAGTGCTTCAAGGCCACAAAAGCCCTCTGGCTAGGGCAGCTTATGAAAAGACATGAAACTCAAATTCTTACTCCCTCTCCAAGGCACACAGAAAACCCTCGTGTATTATAGATGAAGGGAGCAGTTTACATCTGCATGCAAACATGTAATGTTTTTTTTTTTAAAAATTCTTGTTTCTTTTTCCTATGGCATTTTCCAAAACCACAAGAATTTGCTTCAAGCATACAGGCAAATAATAACTTGTTTAGCATTTTGTACTGGTAGATGATGTTGGACTGAAACTAGCTTTGAAGAGAAATATGCAAATCTTTGAAGGTTTGCTGGCCAAATTTATTTTCAGCTGTTTACCTTTGTAGGCTATATTGTTTGTTGCTACTGAAATATAAACAATGTGCTTGTTACTGCCTAGAAAATAAATAGAAGGGCCAGCTGCTGCTGTGTTAAACCTACATTTCTGACAGGTCAGCTGAGACTCAATGCTGAGAATGGGGAAAAAACTGTACATTTCAAAAACACTTTACTGTACCCATAGCTTTCTGAGCTCATTCTCTTGTCTTCACACATTCAAATGAGGTGAGGAAAAGACTAAATGTGCATAAGCCTTTCAGGAGGTTGTGTGGAAGAAATGAGCTGTGAGAAAATTAAATATGGCAAATGAAGGAGGCACAGATGTGTGAGTGGGAAGGATGCACAGGGAGGGTTTGCATTGCTGGGGTCCCACTGGTGACTAGGCTGTGTAAAACCGGTGCTGGTTATAAACCACCAAGGATCTTGTGTAACCCAGCATGCATTTATCCAGGACTTTGGACACAGTGGTAAGGCAGAGGAAGACAAAAGAGAGGCAAGTAACATGGCTTGGTAAGAAGAATAAATATCAACAGAACAACTTGGTGAAGTTCTCTGCTGGACAGGATCTTCCTCTGAGATGAGGCATCTGGCTGCATAGCTCATTGTTGCAGTGGTCCAGATATCTGTACTATTCTATTCTTTGGTTGTTTTAATCAGATTCATTCCAACTATTTATCACATCAGAAGAGCTGCAAATCTCCATGTTAAGTGTTCCAGTCTGATCATAGTGCAGGTGTTCAGTCTTGGACGCGTTTCTTCAGGGAGAAGATGTAAATGTTCAAGTGCTCGCTCAGCTGCCTACCCTAAAGAGAAATCACAGAGATTAGCACCCTGTTTTGCATCTGCTTCACAATTCACTGCCTCTCCTCTCCCAGTAAGAGTAGGGGAACCCAACCACAGTCCTCACATACTTGGGGATCCCTGAGTACATGGAGACCTGTAAGTATTCAAACATGACAGCTGTTTTCCTTACATTCCTCTTGCAACACACAGCTGGGAAGTTACATGGCTACAGACTGGATTCACAGGTGACATAAGCTGTGATGGAGCTCGGTCCCTTTGTCAATTGTGAATTTTGACTGGGTATTTCCATTCTGACCCCCACCAACAGGCCCATGTCGATGCTCAGGCAGACTCTATCATTCCACCAATGTCTGCTGACAAAAGGCTGCTTTCAAAGAAAAATCCTTACATCCCACTGCTGTGGCTTAAATAAAAGAACACTGACTAGCTCCCTCTGAAATGAGACCTTTACCATGCAAGATGTTTTATCTAAAAGTTCAAGCCTTTAAAACAGTTGCTAAATGTTCATTTCACAATTTAGAAAAGTGGGCCTCAATAAAGTAAAAATTTAAGCTGTAGTTCAGATGACAGTGACAAGACTGAGATGTAGCAGACACGAAAATGTGCTGGTAAGATTGAATGAACTGGAAAACTATTCATGTCACCAGCTTGAGAGATGTTAGCAGAGGGCCAAGAAAAAAATTGGGACAGCTATTTTGCCTGCAGATTCAAAGCAAAGTTGACCTTATTTTATTATTTCTATTTATGTCACTTTGCATTTTACCTTCCTATTTTTTCAGTCAAGTGACCTTAGGAAGAAGAAAGGCAAAAAGAGAGAGGTGGATGCATTCGTGCTTCATGGGTCGACTGCTACGTAAAACCAGTCTATAAATATTCTAATTCTGATGGGCCTAAAGCTGAAACCAGTTGGCTACATTGGAATAATTCAAGTCACTGAAGTTGCTGCCCATGCAAAAAGGCATTGCCTCCTGCAATAAAATGGTTTATAAAATGGTTTGGTTTTTTTAACTTTAAACTAAATAAAACAACACACAGGACTAAAAAAAAAAAACCCAAATGTAAACATTCAGACTCCCAGACAATGCCCCAACCAGAAGCTGTTTCCAGACCCCTGTGCTCACCACGCAGACGCCGTAGTGCACGTGGGCAGCCGTGACCAGGGTGGTGAACACGGCCAGAACCGCTTCCTCCATGGGGCCCAGCAGCCCCGAGATGGCTGCATACACCACCAGCGCCAGCGGGAACAGGAACCAGTGGAACAGCTCCGGCCGCGTGCTGCTCATCTGGCAGATGATCACCTTGCACTGCCGGAGCAAAAGGGGCCAGGTGAGAAGTGCTGGGCCAGCCCCGAGGGTCTAAAGAAAAGTATTTCCATTTTCTCCGCGGGTTGCTTTGGGTGAGAGGGAAACAAGGCCGCAGTTCAACATGGGGCCAGTTTCTGGTGAGAAGGCGGATTGTAGGCACACACCTTTGTGCCTCACTGGGTCCTAGAGGATATTATTGCAGTTTAGAATACATCTGTGGAAACCCAGAGCACCAGGAATATTTCTGTGTCTGCTCTGAGGTGCCCTGACCCCCAGGGGAGCACTGACTTTGACCCTCATTCATGGAAAAATTTTCCTAGACTTCAAGATAGACTAGAATCCACAAAAGTGTGAAATAGATTATAGAGAGTAGTGTAGGTGCATCACTTGGTGAGAAATGTAGATTTTGGGATTTTTAGTATGTTGTGGATGGAAGCAAGATAGAGGGCACAAGGTGTCATCCTGGGTTTCTTCTTCATCCTTCTTCTTCCTTCTTCTTCATGGGTTTGGGTGACATTTTGTAATTGGGCAGGAAAGTCCGCATTACGGGCTCTTTGGGATCAGTTATTGGGTTAAAAGGGAAAATAATCTAGGTGTCAGTTCTTAATTGGATAGTTTAGTCTTAAAAGACCTTGTAACAAGAGGTTGTTGGCCATTTTGTGCCTTCTAATGAAAAGCTGCCAAAATCACAGTAGTGAGATTGTTTTACTGCTAAGAAATAATAAACACCTGAGTACCAACATGAACTACCATCTCAAGTGCCTTCAATCCAGACCCAGAGAAACCAACAACTGGTATCCCGACATACACCCTTTCCTGGAGACAGTGTTCTGATACACTTGCTAAGTGGAAGCACATCTTCACAAAAGGGGAATTTGTTTGCCAACTTATGCTTTCACAGGGACTCATAAAGTTGTGATCCCAAACCAAATGTGCCACCACCTAATTAATACTGTGCTGGAGAGTGTGCTGGTATTTTAATCGTGCAGCCTGACAGAAATATCTTCTGGTTCATTGTATAGAAGGGAGGGAAGACAATATACGACATTTTCGCATCCTCTTTCTCTTTTCTAGCACGCCTTTATGTACTAAAACACCAATTTCTTGGCTCAATCATGGCAGTGGGCTCCCTGGAGATGCAGCTGGGGGCCCAGAGAAAGGGATCCCACTCAGAACGGTGGAAAAAATGAATTTATGGTGCACGGTTTAACTGAAGACAATTAGTTTAATTATACTGAGTTCTGCAAACATAATGGGACTAATTCACTTGAAATTCAGTATTTTAAAAGCAATTAAGCACACCAAAGTGTTTTGTCTGGCTTAGACTCCTTAAGAAACGTGTCTCATATATATCATGCCCATTACAAAAAAGCAAAGGAATTTAGGCACATCTGAAATATTTTATTGATTTAAGTTTCATTCAAAATTGAAATGTGGTTTAAAATAGATTTTATGTATCCTGAAAACAGCAGAAGAATGAAAAACTCATTCCCTGTGCAGTGCCTGAAATCTTATGACAGCAGCAGTAGGAGTCTGACCATAGGAAAGAAATACTGGCTTTGCTGCCTGTGCTGTGGAAACTGAAGAATGCAAAAATAAACCATGAAAAAATAATTAACTTTTTATAGTGGAAGAAGCCTTTGTACCTGATGTTAATATTTTCACTTCTATTCTCAGTATTGATTGTGAATTTTTTTAATAACACTGTTTTTTTATGAGTCCTTTGGGAATCATTCCAGAAGGTAACATAAATTGCTAAAGCAATCTACAAGCTGTAATTTTTCTGCCTGCATAACTGAACCTGACCATAGGTTGGATTTCACATTGTTTTAAACCATTGTTATACTTACATATTTAGGTGACCAAATACATGGTCAAAGGCATGAGAAGTTCCAGATACTGGAAGTGGGATGGCAGGTAGAGAGCCATGGTCTGCAGTTTGTGGTCTGCAGAACAGGTAATGGAAACCCAATGTGTCAGGCTATCATGGAAAAGAAAAATATTGCCATGACAAGCCTTCCTCTGATGCTGGGGGAAACATGTCTAAGGAACCAGAGAGGTGAAAGGAAATGCTGGCTTGATTTTCAACTCTAGAATGTTACAAATTCCAACTAACACCCATACATTTTTAATGCTTGCTTTTAAAATGTTAAAATGTTCAGCTAACATGCATACATTTTTAATCCGCACGAGCCTCCAACACTGCAATGTATGCTTTGGGAAAAGAAAAAACAAAGCCTGAAGAATATATATTGCATGCCATCACTGATAAACTGCAGCCTGTAACGAAACCTCTGGTTTGCCTTACTATTTTTCTTCTGCAAGCATCCTGCCACAATCACTCTTGGTTGGTTAAGATGTATGTGCAGAATGTGCCATCTGCCAAACTCTGAAAGCATTTTCCCCACTGGCATGAAGCAATTGTATTTCTCATTTTGGAATCTCCACTATTCTCTGAAGAAAAAGGGGTAGATTGGGTAATGAATAATGCATACAATAAAATACATCTGAAAATCAACTCATTTTTGTGAGATTAAGTCCTTAAGATGGAACTGTTTGATTTTGTGACCCTCAGAAATGTACATTTATAGGATACACCTAACAAACATCACAATTAAAACTTTTTTTTCCATTCCTGAATTCATATTTCTACAGGGTCTAGTACTTTCTCTTTTAAAACCTCACATTTTTGAAGATGTATCTCATAGTGCAAGACACTTCTAGCCTTCCACTTTTTAAACTGGATGTAGCATTGCTCAATGGCAAGATTTTAGATGGAGTTGGAGTCTATTTTCCTAAGATGACACTAGTGACTATCCTCTAGGCTATTTTTGCTTAAATGCAAGAACACCTGTCTGCTTGGCTGCTCTCCTGGCTTCCCCCAGAGAAGAAAGCCCTGGGTTACCTGCAGGGCTCAGCACCACTGCCTGGCTGCCCCTGCCAGAACTGCACAGAGGTTTGTGCTGTCCCTTGGGAATGAAAGGGGGGAAACTGGTCACCATGACATGGTACAGGAGAAACTAATCTGTGAGCAGAGAGCCATCACAGGCCCCTACAGCTCTTCACATCTTTCTCTAAAACATGCTGTCACTGGTACAGCCTTTTTCTGAGTGGAGAAGGGAAAATGTAGGACCAGCTGAACTGCAGGATACAGGAATGCATGGACCACAGCAATGGACACAAGAGCAGGGGAAAGCTACAAACCCTCCACTCTGGCTAGTAAATCTGTGCCAGTGCTGACCTTTCTTTTACTTTGACAAATCCCCACTTCTGCCTGCATGCTGGGGAGTATCTGTTATATTTCTGGAAGTAAGGCATCCCTAGGGTTTTCATAAACCCTCAGAAAACAAACCAGAACCCTCACAGAGGTGTTCCACTGTGGCAAAGGAAGTATCTCAGTACTGTAAGTGTCCCCAGTCCAGACAGGTGTTGTGGTGTATTTTTATGAGACACGGTGACATAAAAATACAGAGTCACACAGTGTCTTGTACACTGAGGTAGAAGAGCTGTGTGACTCTGCTGCTCTTAGCTACATTTTCTGCTCCCTTCTGCTTATTCACAGAAAAATAGAAAGCCATCTCTAAACAATACCACCACCTCAAATATACTTACAATAACATTTGAGAAAGCAACCCCAACCATCCATAAAAACAGTCTGGGTTGCTTTGCTAATATGTTGCTTGGAGATAAAACCACCCAGGCTGTAAGAAGAATGAACAGCAACAGAGGTGACACAAGAGGTAGCAGTCCTTCATACAGAGAATCATTCTTCAGTGTTTTCTTTAAATGTGCTCTGGAAATAAATACAATAGTTTTGAAGAGAAAGTAATTTTATCCATTCTATTTCAACACAGCAACCTCAAACTCTAGACCAAACTCAGCCCAAGAATTCCTCTTGTAACCAGTGCAAATGTGATAGATACCAGACATTTTACAAGAAATTGTAGTATATTTATTTCTGGGGTTACAATTTACTGATTCATTTGCTTTGCTTGCTCACCATTGTCTGGCAATGGACCAGTAAACTCACACAAAGTGAGCTGCAGTGCTCTCAAGCATGCAGAGATGCTGTGAATTCCAAATCTATCCTTTAGAGGATGAAGCTTCTAACATGAGACATAAACTTGTTTCAGTCAATACACCCCATGTTTTCAGCAGCAGCAGAGTGAAGATCATGCCTGGCAGGTATTGCTCTTGTTCAGGGCTGGAGGTCATGCTGCTTGAGGATCCTGTACATTAGGATTTAGTCACTTTAGTCCAAATATAGCCTAAAGGGGAGGCTTTTTGCCTAATTAGAACACAGAAAAATTAATGATATATTGTGTTTTCTTGGGTATTTTAAGCTGTTTTTTCAAGGTAGTAAATTATTGCATTTTCTGTCAGCTAGGAAAATGGTAACTCTAAGTTCACTACCACTAAACCATTCCTTCATACAGCTAGTTCAGAAGAGCAATTCTGTGTTTGAAATGTACTGGGAAATGTCCTGTTTAAAATGTTTGAACATATGTATTTATAGAAACAGCTAGACAAAATTCCAAGAAATATTTTTCTCATGCCAAAAAGGAATCACCTACTCCTAAAATAACAACTGTGAACAGGCAGCAGGATGGAGAAAGAGAGGAGATGATTGAAAAATTCAAATCCTTCATCACCAAAGAGCTCTTGCATGCATCATTCAAGCAAACCTGACAGGTAGTTTAAAAATTTCATAGGAATGACAAGCCCAGCAGAAGGCTTGAGAGGAACCATGTCAAGTGATGACCTGAAAAGGAAAATACTAAACAAAAGTCCTGAGAGGAAAGGAAGGAAACCAAACCCTCAATGCTCATTGGGGTAAAGGCTGCTCCTGCCAGGGGCTGACATGCACAAGGAGCTTCCCTCCTGCTCTCAGTCATTCCCAAACAAGATTTCCTTGCATGGCTGGTTCCCAGCCCCTGCCCCACTGCCCAGCCTTTCTGCAGGTCCTCAGCCTCTCCTGCCCCCCATCTCCCAACTCTCCACCTTCCTGCCCCAAACCTGGGGCTGTGCACGCCTCTGGAAACGGCACTGAGTGCCACCACACAAAAAGGGCTGTGTAGGAGAGATGTGTCTTATAGACTCTCTAAAATTCAAATGTTAATATTAGTTTCCAGTAATTCCTGAAGACAGGCAGTGACAGTCCCTCCTCCAGGACACTTAGGACCTGAGAGACCTGAAGTGACAGATGAGTGAAATGAGCTAGCAAATACTAGGGGAAGGCAGGCAGCATTAATAAAAATAGGCCATTGGAATATGAAATCACTGAGTACAAAATTCTTGGGTGCAGCAAGCCAGTTCTTAGATGTAATCACAGCTTGCCACCTGCCTAGCTTACATCTGATAGCAATTATCTGCAGGCTGCATACAGGGGAGAGTTTTACAGAAGGACCAGGAAGACAATTAAATACTTCACAGAGTGCAGGATGGGCAGCTACAGAATTCCACGCAGCACAGGCAGAAGTTGCAAATCGCATTTGATTGCAAATAAAATGCAGTGTTTTTTACTACAGAGCCTCTATCAGTTTACTGTGCAGGTCCACTGTGAAACTGCTTGGAGAACAGCAAGTGAAAGGAAAAGGAGAGAGTTATAAACATGAAAAAGAAACCAGTCAGATTTTGAAAACTCACCAGGAAAACCTTTTCCTACATTATCAGGGCAACATCTGGATGAAAGAAGCTATTCTACTTCAAGCATTACATTTATTTGTAAATGAGGAAACCATAAAATACACAGAATTAAATAAGAGGTGATAGAACTTATTTAATGTTAATTAACTTACCTGTGAATGTTGTAGAGTGTTTGTGGAAATGACAGAAACAAACTGAAGCCTGGAAGAGAAAAACATTAATATGTAATTCGACACTGATGACCTCAGAGTTTTTTCATATGATAACAGACCTTGTGTTCTATTCTAAAAATGATTTGGTATTCCTGTATTCATTACAGGATATGAACTGAGGTTGGGGGCTTTAGGCAATAATAAAACTGTCTTCTTTTTTTCCCAAAAGCTACCTGCTGGAAATAGTTGCTGATATAGAATTTCCTGTGTAAATGAGTGACAGGACCAGAATTTTTTTTTTATATTCTGATATAGTTAATAGATAGGATCAATTATAGTTAATAGATAGGATCAATTATTTTTCATCCAGATTTGTCAGCTGGACCCAAAATAGCCCTACTTTTCATGAGCTGCTGTTTATGTAGAAAAACCTGAGTCTAACACCAAAAGCCTTCCAGTGGAATACAGAAAGACAATAAACTTCAAGCTGGGCTGTTCACATTAGGGGAGAAATAAGTTTACAGTTCAAAATATTAAGGGTCAACTAATGATCTGTTTTGATAATACAATAGCTGAAATTATTGAATTTTTATGATATGTCCATCATTTGAACAAGTGAGAGTTTTTTACTTCTTTTTTAACACCACAGCTGTGCTGTTTCTGGAGCTCAGCTTTAACCCACAAAGCACAAAGGTTTCACCTTTGCTAACTCTGTTTCTCCCTGCACTGCTGCTGGCATTATCAACCCAGCTGCCAGCAGCCCTGAGCTGCCTGAAGTCCCAGCTGTAGCCCCCTAACACTCCCATCCAAAATACACTGCTCCACCCAAGAATCACAGAAGACTTTCAGCAACAAGTGGAAGCTTGAGATTTAAACAAAAAAAAGTCACTCTATGTGTCAATCCTAACTAGGTGAAAATATGTATGACTTTTTAAATCAATGTCATTCCCTGTAGAGCTCGTTGGTTTGTACTTTTTCCCCATTTTCTATGTATTGAGGGCTTTTCCCTAGTCAATTTGCTGCTTGGAGATTGCTCTGGGTAGCACATTTCTGCATGGCTCTTTTATTGTAGGGCATGAGTCTTGGGTGTGGTGCACTAAATTAATACATAATTCCTATTTTATTATGGGCAAGAAAAGCACTCTGATGTGTTAAACCTTCAGGTATAATCATAAATATAAATATAAATATAAATATAAATATAAATATAAATATAAATATAAATATAAATATAAATATAAATATAAATATAAATATAAATAATATAATGAAAATATAAATATATCATTTAGGAAGCACTGTGATGCCTGTACAGAAAAGTAGAAATCTCATTATTAGCAATATGGGAGGGAAAATGATTAGAGGAAAGCTATGATTCCAGATGACTTTGTCCTGGGGCTAATGTGACATAGCAGTGTCTTCAGAAATGTCAGTGTTTACCTTTCAGTCCTCATTAAGGACATATCCAAGCGTTTAGCATGCCCTGGCCACAGCGGCAACTCAAGAAAAGGAAAACTAAACATGAAAGAAAAGTGGAGATCAGGATTGCTGGGGAAAAAAAGAAGTAAAAAGGGATACAATAGATAATCTGTCTCTTCCGTCTTTCTGGTTATCTACTAAAGAGAAGGAAACAAAGAATTGGAAAAAAAGAAAAGCCAGCCTGTAAATAATTTCAGGTACTGCATTCTTTTTAATGTTTACCTTTTGAGTTTGCTTCTTAAAACAATTAAGATCTCTGCTCCTTTACCATGGCAGAAACTCCCTATCAAACAGCTGAAGGATGTGCAATTGAAGTAATATCCCAAGTATTTTGTCAATATATTTCTAGAATTCACAGGCTTAGTGCCTCCAGAGTGATCTGTGTTTAATGTGCACTCCAGTTAGCTGTGTTTTCTATTAGGCAGGGAGTGCTGGTTCAATAAAATCTTGACTTACGTACAGCAGTTCCAACATCTGTATCACATTAGAGCAGACATGAGACAAAACATTGACTCTTGAGGTTAAATCTAAATTTCCTGCTGCAACCCTGAAGTTTGATTTGTTAGGAGAAAAGCAACCGAGAGGAACAGAAATAGAGACGAGACCTAGAAATAGAATTCAAAGAGCAATGGTTGCCAACAATTTGTTATTTTTATGAAGTGCCATTTTAGTTAGAAATAACACACTGACCACAAACAGTCCCCCAGCTAGCAAAAAGCCACTTTCCAAATGGGGCAGTTCCACCAGTTACTCCCCTGTACTTTTACACGGCTTTGCTTTTAGCACAGCGAGAGAGCTGAGGATGCAGCAGGGAAAGCAAAGGGTGTTCCCCGTTTCTTATGGGATTTTCAGAATTCCCTCATTTCCTACAACATGTTGCTTTCCCATCTTTTTTTAGCTAAAGAGGCCTGGCTCAGGGGCTGCTTTTGGTACTCATTAAGTCTGCTGTTTAATTGGCATTAAGGATCCCTTTGTGCCCAGGAGCTAAACTGCTGCATCCGCATTGCTGCCATTCCCTGCTGCTCTGAGGAACAAAAGGTGCAGCCTGGAAAGCAAACCCACTGTTGGCTCTCTGGCGCTCAGCCACCCAGGCACTGCCCAAGTGATCATCATGGAGCTTTTTATTTGTTGTTTTTAATGTCCTAAAAGTATATATTTTATTTTAAAATAATTTTTAAATTCAATTTCCGCGCATTCCATGTTTTAACACGTATGGGAAAATAGAACTCCTCAAGTGTTCTTAGAGGTAGTATACTGCTCTTCCAGGATTTTTTAGTTTCTTCTTTACTATTTTCCCATTCTTCAGCTGATTTAAAATCTGAGACCCAACTGTAAGAACACAGGCCTATATTAAAGGCAGAAATACCAAAGCACAGATGGGTGGCACAGATACACAGGGAATTCTTGTGTCATGCCAGGCTGAAAGTATCAAGCCCAAATCCTGGGATTTAGGTACAATCCTATCTCAGTCCTCTGTGTTGCACAATGTAAACTCACTTTTCAGAGAAATAAACATTTTTAAAGCTCTTTATTAGGAATTATTTTGTTCATATTAAAAAATGCCAAACATAAGCATAAACAAACAAACAAATCCCAATGCATTCAGAAATTCAGGATTAAAGACTTATCAGAAGTGAGGAAATGAAGGCATTACCCTGTTTTGCAAATATGTATGTGTATAAAAGCAGATACACACAGATATATGCATATAAATATGTGTACGTTATATATACTTATATATATATGCATATATATACATATGTATATGTATATATGTGTGTATATATATATATATATGTATATATGTATGTATGTAGATGTATATATATATGTATATATACTTGTCTATAAAAGAGATCAAAAGGAAATTCCCATCAATCTTAAGGACAACTTTAGATTTCATTCAGTGCTTTCCAATTCAATTCCAAACCAATAAAGTGTTGTGATATAACTGAATAAATTAATGATAATTTTTAAAAGCTAGCACACAATGGCTACCATGATACCTTGTCACCCATGTTATTTGGAGTGACAGTAATATATTTTAATTATGTGAGGGCATTTTAAATGCTCCTGTAACTAAATTTAATGACTACTGAAGATCTACAGGCAGACAGGTTGTTTCCATGACATGCTGCAGTTACTGTGGCTGTTGTACCTGATTTAATTCAGGCATTTCTGCAAAACGCAGACTTGGTCATTGTAGAGAAAGAGAGGCTATGGCCAGGAACAAACTGCTGACCTTACTGTGAGCTCCAGAAAAAGCTATTTCAGTACCCAACAGCCTCATGCTGGCACTCAGACAAAGCAAACAGCCTGATGCAGGTAGCCACATTTCTGAAAACACAAAACCTCACAGACTGTAAACACTGCTAAATAAAGAAGTGACTCCAAGACACCTAAACCACTAAACAAGTTATGGCGCTTCAGAGGAAGGACAACCTTTGCTGTTTATCTTCTCCACACATTTGTTATCATAAACCTCCTTTGTTAGTAAATTTCTGACAAATGAATTATCTTTAAACTGTCCTAAGAAAAGCACTAAAATTTTATTTGTTAAGAATTGGCTCTCCTGATAGATAAAAATCAAAAATTCAAAGACGAGACAGTGCAATACAGGGATGTAATTATACGGATGTAATTTTAGGTGAACACTGCACTGGAAATTGTGTGAATTTGTTCAGGAAAGCACCATCCCTGCCATGCTCTCCCCATCCCCCCCAAAAAATACTCCCCAGAGCACTCATCCCATTTTGAAGGCAGAGAAGAAGCCTGTGCAGACTTTCTGGGCATATCACAGAAGCTGACCAACTCTCTAACAGCGGGTGGTTGTACTTGCATTTCAGCTTACAAATTAAATACTATCACTCTCCTCATTTTTCAAGTGCCCACACTTCTGTATGGCCTTCTTCAGTACACTGCTTGGCCTTTCCATCTCTAGATTAATAATCTGTCATAATCAATGTATGCTGTAAAGAAATGGGATGTTATAATTTACCTTTCTTAGCCACCAGACAAGAAAAATTAGATTCAAAATATCCAGGCCTCAATATTGGCTTGGAAAAAATATTTAAGTACTTTTTCCATGGTGTTTTTCTCAAATTCCTTGCACATTTAGAGCAGCTAGACACATGAAAATATCTTAACACACTGAATGTTTAGCACACTGATCAGTGCCTGGAAGCAAGCTTCATCAAAATGTGAACATTTTAAAAGCACTTGTTCCTGGAACAGAAGCTTTTTGTGGAACAGTGTGACCTTCTCTGGCATGTCTTGAGCAGACAACTCTTTTAACTGATTGTGCAAATACACAATTGTGTTTTGAGCTGTCCACTAAAAAACCATTATATTTTATTACTATGTAAAATGGCAAACTTAAAACCACTTAGTACTTGGGAGGGGGGAAAACCTTAGAAAACAAATATGTAATTTGCAGACTTAATTGAGCCTCTAAAGTCTGAATACATTAGGGTGAAAAATACACCTAAAATCCACAGTATGAAATGATTTTACAGGGATTAGGGGAACATAAGGTAAACATAAGCACTGTCTTCAGGCACAAAGTTGATG